AAAAAAAAAAAAAAAAAAAAAAAATCAAAGATATGTATAGGGTATTAAACAAATACCAAGGAGAACAGTTAACTTGAATACAAGGTCAAAATCAGCAATAAGTTTTACAATCCAGTGCTGATATTGGATACAAACCTTAAGGACAAATTTCTTTTCGAAGGCTTATTCCAGTTTCGTGAGGCTAGTATGAGGTGTGTGCATTTGCCAGGGACACGTTTTTGTTTTTGTTTTTCTTTTGAGATGGAGTTTCGCTCTGTTGCCCAGGCTGGAGGGCAGTGGCACGATCTTGGCTCACTGCAAGCTCCACCTCTTGGGTTCACACCATTCTTCTGCCTTAGCCTCCCAAGTAGCTGGGACTACAGGCGCCCACCACCACGCCCGACTAATTTTTTTGTAAAGAGAGGGCGTTTCACCATGCTAGCCAGGATGGTCTTGATCTCCTGACCTTGTGATCCGCCCACCTCAGCCTCCCAAAGTGCAGGGATTACAGGCCTGAGCCACTGCGCCCAGCCTCAGGGGCAAATTTATACTTCAGAATTAACCCATGCGGCAAAAGCTACGCATCGGCTCACAGTCCGTTTAGAAGCATTTGTGGTAGACGATGGAGGGGCCCGACTTGTCTTACTCCTGCTTGCTGATACACATCTGCTGGAAGGTAGACAGTGAGGCCAGGATGGAACTGCCGATCCAACCGAGTACTTGCGCTTGGGGCGGGGCACAATGATCTTGATCTTCATGGTGCTGGGTGCCAGGGCGGTGATCTTCTGCATCCTGTCGGGATGCCCTGGTATATGGTGGTGCTGCCAGACAGCACGTGTTGGCATACTGGTCTTTGCAGATGTCCACGTCACACTTCATGATGAGTTCAAGGTGGTCTTGTGGATGCTGCAAGATTCCAGGCTGGAACAGTGCCTCCAGACACTGGAACTACTCGTTGCCAAAGGCGATGACCTGGCCATGGGGCACCTCACAGCTCTTCTCCAGGGAGGAGGAGGATGTGGTGGTGGCCATCTCCTGCTCAAAGGG